ATAGATAAAAGTTATGAGGATGTGCCACACAGTCGACACAAATAATAACCGCAGGAATGTTTTCTTGAACCACTTAGTATTTATTATCTCCTGATACCGAGTCTCTAATTGATACTATTTTCCAAGAAAATACACATTTAAGTTATTAGAATCAATCCAATGATTGAAAGCATTTCTGCATCCAGGTTGTTCCCTAATGCTACGTAGGTAGTCATGAACCTTGTTTTAAAGCTCCAGTAGAATGCTGTCTGAAATGTAGTGTGGAGAGGGGAGGGTGTACTGTGTTAAACCAGGTGGAGCCTCTTACTGTTCAATACTACAGTGACCTTAGGAGGCGGTCACTAAGACTATGGGTATTTCATGTTCGCAAGCAGAGACCATTGTATGGGTTTAGTTAGCAAGAGGCACCATGACAAAGACTTAATATCCTCCAGGTAGAGCTCATGAGGTAAAGACAAGATGGGATCTACTTGGCAAACTGATTTCATGAACATGACAAGAGTAAGAACATCTGTGACTACAACAACAAACACCAACAGCCTGATTTCACTCCCAACATGTCACACTAAACTTAACCAAGTAGTTTTGGTGCCTAAACTTCATCAAACAGCCAGTGAAAATGAAAAACTTAGGACACATAATAAAATTAAACAAAGTGGAAAAAATGATGATTTGACACAGGACATGAACCTCAGTGTCCTGGGTGAAAGCTCTGTGATATTTGCCTCGGTTATAGTATTTTGGAAGGTCAAATAGCAATAAACTGAGAGCTTGGCTGGCCCTTTTTGGCACACATCAAATGCTATAGTCTACTGATGTTAGAGGCCTCAAAAGTTGATAAAATGCCAACCAAAACTGTATTGGCAACTGAAATATGGATATATGGATCCAAGGTCTGAAATGTTAAGAAATTCAAAAAATTAAGCCAAAATATTTTATAGTACTTTTTCACAGAACATGTTTTTAGTCCAAAATAACAAATAAGTAAAATCTGATTGTAATCAGAGAGAGTGGAGCAACACCACAGTGTGTTGGAATGACCCGGTACTGAAAATGGGTTGCATCATTAAAAGACTGAGGTCAGGCATAGCTACCAGACAATGTGAATATGCCTTAAGACTTTATGTTAAGATTCTTTTTTTCTCCCAATATGTCCAAAAGCAGGTTTATTCCCTTTTTTAAAAAAAGTAAAATGATGCACAATAGCTGCAGTATAGTTATTTGAATTGTATTACACAAAATGTGAGTAACAAGAGGAACCCGAAGCTGTAAACATCTTCACCTGAACCAGGGCTCTCCTGCACAGTCCAGCTTTGACCAGAGACTTGGCGACCCAGCGTGCTGCATAAGCTCCAGACCGATCCACTTTGGAGTAATCCTTTCCAGAGAAAGCCCCTCCTCCGTGCCCGCCCCATCCTCCATAGGTGTCCACTATGATTTTACGTCCTGTCAGTCCTGCATCACCCTGTTGGTTCAAAAACATTAAAGTCAAGTCATGCACCACCACATCCAATTAGAAAGGCTTGGCTTAACCTACTAGACCTCAAAACCCAGAGGTTTTTTGAAAAAAGAAAATGGCGAAAGCTACACAATTTATCAGAGCAAGATAAAAATCATCTGTGCCGTTTGGTCAAGAAAATTAACAAAATCTAAGCTAAAAATTGTGATATTTCATTAGAATCACCTTATTTAACATGTCTTATTTTAAAAAATGTCCAAAAATTACCAATTTTCTCTAAACAGATTCTGTAGAAGACTAAAACATGTTCTGCTGCGACCAGCAGTCACGTGACAAATTTTAGGAACTCTTTAACTGAAGAGGGCTGAACTGCAGGCTGTGTTTACATGGAGCAGAATGGAGACAAGTATGGAACCAAGTTAAACCTGTAAGTTGAAAAACATCCATAGTATGCAGAGCAAACATTTTTTCTAGTATTGGTAACACCTGTGGCACTTGGTAAAAATTTTGAACATGCTGTGTCCATGCATAACTTGTGTCATATAACACAGAAAACATTTCTGATCTTCTCTACTTATAGTCATGGCTGTGCTGTTTGCATAGAGGTGCAGGACTTTATATCACAGTGAAAAATGAGCCCACAGTAAATAAAAACGTGACAGGAATGGAAAACGCCCAGAAACTGCTTGGAGTTTAGAGGACGAAGATGTAGTGTAATCAATACTAACCTGTGGGCCTCCTATGAGGAATTTCCCACTTGGCAGCAGATGGTAGATGGTTTTATCATCCAGGTACTTGGCAGGAATGACGACCTTCACCACCTTCTCCATCAGGTTGCGTCTGATCTCCTCCAGGGTGATGTTAGGGCTGTGCTGAACTGAGATGACCACAGTGTGGACACGCAGCGGTTCCATGGCTCCCATGTTGTCTCGATACTCCACTGTGACCTGCAGAACAGACGCTAGAAAGCTAAGTGAATGTTTCAATACATATTATTAGAACTAACAACACAGAGGAGAGAGATACTGTAGTCTTTTAAGATGCCCCTGGTTACTGCTGAAGTGGCTGACCTGTGATTTGGAGTCCGGTTGGATCCAGGGACACTCTCCACTGCGTGACAGCTCCTTCATCCTGTAGTTGAGTTTATGAGCCAGCAGGAGAGTTAAAGGCATACACTCCTCAGTCTCATCTGTGGCGTAGCCGAACATCAAACCCTGAAAAGAAAGACAGCCGATAAAGATGAAAACCCAGTCTTATGATCATATGTAGTCATGTAAAGGTGTATTTCACATTTAGAACTTCAAATGCAAGTGAATACGACAGTTTCCAATTGAAGATAAGAGATATTCATGCATTTTGAATGCAGTTTTATGAGAAATTGCTGATTGGTCTACTGGTGTCCACAGGTGGGAAGTAAAGTACAAATACTTTGTTATTGTACTTAAGTAGATTTTGCAGGTACCTGTACTTTACTTGAGTATTAATTTTTCTGACGACTTTTTACTTTTACTCCCTACATTTGAACACAAATATCTGTACTTTCTACTCCTTACATTCTCAAAACTGGCTCGTTACTTGTTTCAACCTCCACGGACATGACGTAAAACATGCAACAACAAACATCTTCTTCTTTCCCAGAGGGCTGTACCACGAAGCGAGACTAGTGGGTTAGCAAGGTATGTTGAGCTTAAAGCCAGAGTTTTCAGAATCACGAAGGTTACTCTCTTTCTACCTGGCTAGATCTCCATGGTAACTGATGCTGTGGCGCTAACCTGGTCAGGAGCAGGTTGTGTTCAGAGCTTCATATTTAAATCGGCTGGAAAGAGCATCTCCCTTTAACCAGATTGTTTCCTGACTATTATTTATGAGCGATACAGATTCTCAGCTGAGGGAATGTGTTTATCTGTGAACATGCTGAGTTGTGTGTTGCTAATATCACTGAATGAAGCTGTGTAGTTACAGTATCGCACAGTCGACATAGACGGAGACCGAGCGCTCCGCACAGGCAGTACTTGGCTGCTGATGCCAGTTTAGGTTGGCGGTCACAGTTCTGTTGCCACCATCGGTGACGGGGTGCAGGCTGGGGCAGGTTGCAGGCGAATATATATCATATACCACCACAACAACCAAATATTCGGATATTTGGATGTTCGGGTCCAGCCCTACTGTAAATATCACGTTGCCATGGGAACCCAACATCTTAAATTGGCAATGCAGAAATCACATAAATATGTTTTTATGTTTGGTTCTGATTTGCTGTCAGGTCCGTTTACTCTGCTGCTACTGCAGCTGATAGAACAGATTAGAAATGAAATGAAATGAAATGAAATGAAAAATACTTTATTTATCCCAGAAGGGAAATTCAATTTTTTCAATTCAAGAACATGGATTATTCTGCTGGTATTCATTACAGACAATATTCAATCAATAACATTAGTTCTGCTCTGATTGGGCCAAAAATTAAAGTGATTTCCTGCATTATGGGACAGTGTCAGACCTAAATGCACTTCAATACAAGATCATGTTTAAATGTATGAAGTTTAAAGTTTAACTTTAACGTGCAGCTGTCAGTTGGAAATCAGCAGCTGCATCAGTAAAATATTATATATTAAAATGTTTAACAGTTTTATACCAGCATTCCTGTCTTGCACCATTTGCAGTTGAGGCGTTTATATATAAATATTCCTCACTGTTCTCCGTTAAAACAACATGTTGACTGAAGCAGCTGCAGACGATTGTTTCATTTAGTGCAGAAGAAGAGTCATGTGACGCGTTAAACGCCCCCTTTTATGTAAACGCACCCAGAGTCTGAAACAGAAAACCTGAGTTGATAAAGAAAGTTGATAACCACCTTCGTGATACCCGTAATCTCTGGCTGGGGCTTTCGGTTTTGTCGATTCGGCTTACACAAAGAAAGCCTGGCTCTGTCAAACTTGCTAGTACAGCCCTCAGCAGAGTGCAATTTGTCACTGAAGCTCAACACACCCCTGCCTGCCTCAGCTGCCTGCGAGAGACTTTTTAGCACTGCAGGACTGGTTTTCAGACCCAAAAGGGCACATCTTCATTCAAAGAACTTTGAGAACCAGCTTCTACTGAGGCTCAATAAAAGATTTTGGTAGTCTTGAAGAGACAAGTGTTTCCATGTTGATTATAATGTTTAATGTTCATAAAGTTGCTGAAATAGAAAACTGTCCAGTGATGTTTTTTCTCTGTACCAGCACTGTGCAGGTTCCTAAAGGATGAAAACAATCCTATTTTGTGTGCTTAAAACCTTTTTCGTTTTACAGAGTTATCAAAAGAGGCATTGCATAAGCAATTAAATTATTTTCTCTGCTGTAGTAAAAACCCACTAAACTGAATTTTGTGTATCACAGCATTCCTAATACCTTACTTAAGTATCACTTTCCAGTATTACTTCTTACTTTTCTATTCTAGTCATATTTGAGCTTACTCAACTGTATTTTAGTTTTAGTAATATATTGTACTCATATCTTATTGCTTTTCTATTAGGCACTGCATTTATTTTTAGGTTATTGTAATTTCTTGTTTCTTAGCAATAACCCTAACCCACAATAATTTGCTTTGGGATTATTATAGTTTTCATTTATGTTATGCTGCCTTCTCTTATCTTTTCCAAACCAATCAGAATTCATTCAAAGTTGTAAAACATGATAATAAAAGGTGAAATCATGAACCTGGTCCCCAGCACCGATGTCCTCCTGGTCCCGGCCTTCAAACACACAGTCCGATATCTCCACACACTGCGGCTCCAGAGCCACCAGCACGTTGCAGGTCTTGTAGTCAAAACCTGCACATCACAGTTTGCCCAAAATGAGAATGTTTCCTTGAAGCATTCATTAAATTTGATCAAATAAGAACCCTGCTGAACCTTTTGAAGAGTCGTCATAGCCGATCTTCTTCACAGTATCTCGTACCACTGTCTGGAGGTCCACAGTGGCTTTAGATGTCACTTCTCCCACCAGTAAAATCATCCCCGTCTTCGCTACACACTCTGTAACAAGACATTGAGTCGGACACATTAAGAATAACAAGAAAGTTTTAGAATGTGTTCCATTTTTATGGCCGTCAGAGTATTTCTTGACTCAAAACGGGCCTTTGAAGGACAACAGCAGGATCACTCGATGTATTACGTGACAAGAATCTATGCGTTTTCCTCGTATTTCTGACCCTTTGATAAAAATGTCTATCATGCTTTAGTAAATGGGACCTCAATTGTCAAACAAGGAAAATAAATAAATAAAGTTCTTATCATTTTGGACCTTGGGAGCATTCTTTGGGCAGTCACCAAAAGTTCCTCTAAGCCTTGCGCTGTATATAAATAAAGGCATATCTTATCTTATATCATTTGTGTTTTTCTTTGACATTTTAATACTATTTAGCTTTACTCTGGAAAACAGTACTGCTGGTTTTTTTCTTGCTTTTTAATTCATTGTTCCTTCTTCCATCAGACTCTGGCTATACTGTATGAGCATCTTATTGGACTTAGTCTTTTATTACATGGTGTATACTCCATCCATATTTCAACCTGGTGTTTTTCTTACGGTGTGTGACAGTGGTCTTTGTTTCTCATTTCTTGTTATTAGTGATTAGCACAACTTGACAATTAATAGCCAATTGACACTGAAGGATAAATACTGCAAAGTTCTATTTTAAATAAACAGAATTATAACATGGATAAACAAAGGCATTTCAACCAGGTGTTTTTGGTTGAAGTTTGTGTTATTCAAAATTTTGACAGTAAGGTTTTCATTTTTACTGGAAATGTGTACCAGTTCTAAATACTGGTTATCAGTCTCAGTGAATACTAATGATCAATACTATAGCAGCATTGACATAAAATCAGTCGATCACTAGTATTTCAGCTGAACCTTCTTGGCCATGTCTCTCTTGAAGCAGGGACTTTATTCTTAATGAGACTTCATTAAATTAAGGAAAATAAACTCTCTAAAATTGTTCATTCTTGTGTATTTTTTCAGGTCTGAAGCAGCTTCATGTAGAATTAATCAAAGAGGCAAACAAGAGGAACTCTGTGGAAAAACCATAGACTCATTATAAATGAAGGAGCTGAATGTGTTTGATGACCTGGCGAGATCATGCTGCACTGAACTTTGATCTAAGAGCAAACACTGCTTTATCAATAATTGTCAAAGCAGTTTACCTTATCACTGGGTTCACACACGTAGTGAATAGCTATATTCTTTTCATGCCTCCTCCTGTTGTTATAAAGATAGGTCCACACACCAAATGGCTAATATAATGTCCATTACCATAATACATAGGGACACACATTATTTTGCATTTTCTTTTGCAGATTTTCAGTGAATATTTGCACGACATCTGTATAGAAACCTGTGTAAGGAAGACTAACATGATCGCATCAATATCAAGCAACAGAAGACTCACCACAGGCCACTTTAGAGTCGGGGTCTTTTCTCAGGTATGCATCAAGTACAGCGTCACTGATCTGATCACACATTTTATCTGTGAACACAAATAAATGTATAAGAGAACAGGAGCAGAGGCCTCAAACATGTAGTGCTGTTGAATGCAGTATTGTCAGGGCTGTAGCTGTAATAGAGGACCCCGAGGTCAAGTTGTTATTACATTTTCTAGGAATTTTAGGACAAATTTTAAAGTGACATAATCATGTATGTGCACGAAATTAAAGAGTCCATTAAACATTAAACACTTCCTACATGAAAAAATACAAATGATGTGTACTTTCAGACTCAGTAGATTTAAAATTTGACTTCATTCAAACTTTACAAATAAATGATTCAGAATTTGATTCCTGGCTGGATAGAGAAAATTTGAACTTATATTTAGAACTACAATTTTAAATATATATATATATATATATATATATAACTATATAATATAGTAGTGAAATTATATATGTGTGTGTGTGTGTGTGTGTGTGTCTATACTGTCATTTTCCTCCTTAATTGTAATTTCTCATATCTATTAGGCATCAGCTGGGATAGACTCCAGCCCCCCGCGACCCCAGTGAGGATTAAGCGGTGGATGGATGGATATCTGTTTGGTAGATTTTCTAGAATCATCCGGTGTCTTACTTTGTTTTTAAGAAAACTTAAAGCGACCTATATGGAGTCACACATGTGCAGAGCGCTGACTGTGTATAAACAAGTGCAGACATGTTCCGACATGTGCAGTCAGAGAACTTGATCCATTCATGTGTGTGGTGTTCAGTACCCGAGTGTCCTTCTCCCACTGACTCGGATGTGAACAGGAAGGTCTTCCCGCTCCGGGTCGCGCTGCTCGGGTTCATCTTCAGCTCGTTCGTCGCTGCAGAAAAGTTTAATCCAGCGGAGTCTCGATCAACCGGACGGTGAACGTGTCGACGCAGGGCCGCAGCATAAATGTGAAGGTAGCCTGTGATGTTCGCCGACACTATAAAGCAATAATTAAGTCTGAAGGTTGTCGCTCTGACGATAACTTTGGACAGGAAGATGTGGCCGATAAAAGCGACTGATGCAACTTTCCATCGGGACTCGTACGGAAATAGCATATAAATCAGCACACCGGACTACTCATTTCCTTTCTGGGATCTGCAAACTGCTGTGATGGCTGAAGGAAGAATGTTTACAAGTGAGAGATGCAGGACAGCCTCAAGATGGCGCCGCACGACCCACTTTATCTTAATGCCCCTGAACACACCTCCGATTAAAAACACTGTACTTTTACTCCCCTGTATTCATCTTAAAGTTTTACATTTTGTTATATTTTAACAAGCAAAGAAATATATTCAACTCTAAAAATGTAATATTTTGTTAGAGATTGAACCACCCGACCATAAATAAAGTAGGAGCTGAAGCTATTAGTTGATTAACAGACTAACAGACTGACAAAAGAATCACAGTGAAGCTGTCACTCTGGATTTTATAACTCTTTTTTTTTTTATTAACCTTTTTTTTTTTTTTTAATATTATTCATCAGATTGACTCTCAATAATAATAATTATTATTAGTATATTTTTCTTATATGTAAATAAAAATATAATAAGGCTCTGAAAGGACAACATTACAGCTGATTTTGGTGACAAGCCTGCATTTAGCTCCAGTATTCATTCAGTCTTTCTCCGTCCACCAGATGTCCTCAGACATTCTTCCCCCAGTCAGCTGACTCTCCTGCCCTGATGTAACCCCTCATCTCCAGCCTCACCACTCCCACTCACACACCGGCTTCCCAGTAGTGAGTAAACCTGCCCTGTTCACCTGCTGGTGTGCCAGATCATGAGCCTCTATCTGTGCCTCTGCAAACCTCCCTCATTTCCTCTAATAAAGACACTGAACTCCTCCTCTCTGCCTTCTGTTCTGGGTGTTGGTTCTCCTTCCCTTTGCCTGCCTGGTACTGCAGCTTCTAAATGTTTAACTGTGCCAGCATGTAGAGTCCAGTGGCTTTTTTAGAACCATCTGTCTGTAAACAGCTGCCTCCAACGCTAAGAAACCCTGCTATGTGGGCACTAAGTGTGAACTAAAACAGTACATTTATTTAAAAAAAGTTAAAACTCACCTCACACTATGAGGCCATAGATGGTTATGTCTGTTTTGAGTTTTATCTGTCGTACGTATATGTGCAAAAACAACAAAAACATGTACAATGTGATGCAGTACTAATGTGTTGTTTAGTACTCAAACGCTAGATGCAGTCATGCAAAGATGGTCAGCAAATGTGTGCTAAACAAAAACTCTTCATCATAAACATCACAAAGCAAAGATTTACTGTGGGGCTGGTATTATATGTTCCCTTATATTTCACAGGTGATTGTATCCACCAGTAATACCTTAAACAAGACTTGTTTAATGCTGCTGTTCACAGAAGTCTGAAGGCAGAAATATATCACTTGGAACTGAATTTGAATTACAAGAACTAAACCTGATTTACAGAACTGACTTTACATTTTGAAAACTGCATATGGAACTGAATTCAGTTTCAATTGAATATGTTCAATTTCAAAATATGTAATTCAGGTCTTTTGTTTTAATGCAAGTATTTAAACTGAGAGAATGCAATTTGTTAAATATGATAATATTCTGTGAAAATTTGCTCAGAACCTGAGCGTTTTTCAAAACACAAGTTGTTCTCTTGCAATCATGTGACACAAAATACTTTCACTGATGAAAGCAATGTATACAATGTTTATCAGAAACAGACTGGTAAGCATAATCATTTTTAAACCATTTGTCATGTTTATTTTATCAGTCAGTACATGTCAGATCAGGGGTCCCCCAAGATTCTGTCCTGGATACACTTTTATTTATTATTTATCTGAATAGCCTGGGTCATAACATTCCACATACGCAGCTTCATTTTTATGCTGACGATGCTGTCATTTACTGCTGTGGTGCTACCTTAGCTCAGTCTCTCAAGTATTTGCAGGCTGCTTTTGATTTTGGTTTAAAACTTGTGCTGAATGCCTCAAAAACTAAAATGATGCTGTTTTCTATTCTTTTCTTATCATTAAAACCCTGTAGGGCACTCAGATTGAACTCGTGACACAATACAAATATTTTTGTATTTTAATTGATGAACCTTGAACTTTTCGACCTCACGTTGAAACCTTAGCTGCTGGGAAAATCCTCCCTCTACTCGACTACAGTGATCTGGTGTATATGCATGCCCTGGCCACCCTGGACACTGTGTGCCATGGCTCTTTGAGATTTGTTCTCGCCTGCAAAGCTCTCACTCACCATTGCACCCTATATGCCAGAGTTCAGTGGCCCTCCCTGACCATGTAGAATCACACAGAGCCACAGTTATTTCAGTTTAATAATATTTGTCTAAAAGCCAAGTGTCTCGACTGTACAAAGTCCATGATTACTGTACTCATTTATATAAGGTACAGCCAGCATGGGTTGTCTTGATTATGTTAAGTATTGATGCAGTATACACTCGTTTACTTGTCTAATTTAATTTTTTAATTATTAATAGTTCTACTTTTACCGTAAGTACTTGGCAAGCAGCATCCACCCAGTGTTCAGTTAACATGAGTCATGCCCAGATCCTCTTTATCAAGAAAGGACACCCTAAGCTCAATAAAGCTGCAGGGACAGTTCTTGACCTATTTCAGCTCCGTAGAGGTAATATAATGATTCAGCATTTTTGTTTGATTAATAAATGTGTGAACACATTCATGGTTTCTGTTCCCACAACTATACAGGCAACATTTATTCCTCTTCCTCTCTGTAATCTTCCCTCTCAATCAGGTTTCTACTTCGCTGTGCTGCTCTGATGATACTAACAGACACACATATTGTGTTGCAATGCATGTGGGGGGAACAAACTGAAAGAGCGGAACAAGACCGGAGATGTAGCACTGAGAGGAGGGTTTTACTAAAGTCACATGCTGTGAGTGAAGCAATAGTTTGTGTGTTTCACTGCACATAGAAGACATGCAAACCGTACCGACAATATTACCTAAAACATTTCTGTTACAGTCTGCTGCTGTACTGGTGGCTCTGTGATCTGGTACTACACCCGGGATGGACCAAGTGGGTTTTCTCAGAAGTTATTACACTTAGTGTTCTTGTTTTGGATGTATCTCTACAATCCTGAAAGTCTCCTCTAACCATCTGGATGAATAAGTGTTCCAACCAGTTAATGATTTTTTTGAAAAGTACTTTAAGTCCTTTCTGTAGTTGCATGTCTTTCAAAACAAAGACACTAACCACTGGGCTCCCTGGAAAGACAACAGAGTTGCAGTGAAGTTAAAACCTGTTTTTACTCACATAGGTAAAAGAGTCTTGAAAGTTTTTGTAAATCACATCAGTAATTTTAAGCAGTGCTTGAAAAAAGAAAGCGACACAAAATCAACTCCTAAGGGACTGTTAGAGGACTCCACAAATGCAAAATAGCTGAAATGAGATGTCAAAAGACTACAACAAGAGAGAAAGGTGCCCAAAAAGAGACAGACAAAAACCTTTAAGAGACAAAAGTTCCCAAAAAAGAGATGCAAAGGAGACAAAATATTATCAAAAAGATATAAATGAATCAAAAAGACACACAGAGGAACCAATAAGAAAAATAAGAAAGACAAAATTTATGCAAAAACAACAGATGCAAAATGATGGAAAAGAGATGCAAACAATGAGAGAGATACAAAATGTGCATAAAGACATAGAAGCAACTCAGAAAAGGTGGTTGATCACTGCACAAATGCAAAACCTAAGGCCCCAGACCAGATAGAAAACAAGCAAAATGGGACAAACATCAACAGAGGGTAAAATAAAAAAATCACAAAATGATCAAAAAGAGACACAAAATGACAAGAGGACACATAAAGAGACATGTAATGTAAAGAGAACTTAAAGAGACACAAAACAACCAAAAACAGACACAAAATATCCAAAATGAGATGCAAAGAGATCATTAACAGTGACAAACTAGAACAAAACGTGACACAAAACAACCAAAAAAATAGATCCAAAATGACCAAAAACAGATCCAAGTGACCAAAAACAAAAAAATTACCAAGAAGAGACTCAATGTGAATGAAAACAGATGTAAAAGGAGACACAAAAAATGACACAGATCTTCCAGAAAGAGCCACTGGGTGACAAAAAGAGCTGCAAGATGATCAAAATGGGACACAAAATGGACAAAAAGATGCTTCTTGTAAATGAGCAGCTCTTAAGGGACTCCACAATCTGTCCATGACCCACATCAGCTTACAGACTGCTAGTGGATGGTGTCACTTTCTCTGTATGAAAAAAGAGTTAAATATAACTTAGGAGTGAAGTAACATTTAAAGTGTGGAGTTATTGTTAAAACTATTACAGCATTTCAAGGGTTAAGCTCATCATGTTTGCACATGGAACCTGTGAAGTTGTTGCTACACTGCTGAAATAACACGCTGCACAACACAGGATGAGGAAATGAAGTGGAGCAACCGAGTGACTTCACCTCTTTATTGCCTTGCAAATATCCCTCTGCTGAACACACTGAGCCCTTTGCCCGGACGTATCAGTTTAGCGCTGGCCTGCTTCCACCACTCCAACAGCTGATGGTACGTAACACATAGAACTGTAACTAACAGACAGGTTTTTACCAGTTAGACTCAAACGTCTCCTTGCTTGTCTTTAGGGACCAACCCTGCAGCTCAGTCTGGGGGGTTTTTGTGCCTTTCGGTGGTGAAGAAGAGGCAGCCTAGTTCCTGAATAGCAGGAAATGACAGCCCATGATCTGACTGAACCTAGATCTTTGTGGTGATGGTGACCTGTTCAAGTAAAGCCAGTGAGACTTTGATTGAGGTAGTTAATGAGTAACTAGAAGAGGTGCAACCTTCAGCAGACATTTGCTCAGCTCCTGCTGTATGACTCGTACAGTGACCAGAAGTAGAGATCTTTGAGTTTGTTTATCAAACTAACTGGACTGGACGACAAGAGTCTGTGGAGGATTTAATTTTTCTTGCATTAAGCGGATTTTTGTTGGTTGAGACTGAAAACAGAGCTGCTATGGTAAGTGGTGCTAAAGCTGAGTTTACTTGTCATCGTGTTGTGTTTGATTTGTGGATTTGAATCATCTTGATACTATTTAAAATACCCACGTTAGACTGTTTGTGAACCAGATTGACTGTATAACCACAGTGCCTGAGTTTTCCCGTGACAGGCCGCTATAAGCCTGATAGCTGTTTTTCCTGTTAACACAGTAGTAGGAAGTGACATTAGGTCAGTAGAAACTGTGCTTACAGTGTTCCTGCATTGGCTGGCAGGCATTCAGGTGACCTCATGGTAGTCAGTGTTTGTTGACTAAAAGTGACCATTTTCCACAGGCCGACATGAACCCTCAGCCTCCAGCCACCGGCTCAAACACTAAGTTTGACCAAGTGCAAGGTCAGGTGAACGAGGTTAAAGTTATCCTGAAAGACAACATCAACAAAGTGCTGGAGAGGGGCGACCGACTAGATGATCTCATCGGCAAGACTGACGACCTGCAGGCATCTGTGAGTACACTGTAAAAAAAAGACTGTTTTTACAATAATTTTTGAAACAATTAACTGTTATTTTACACAGTTTCACTGTTTTGTTAAATTACAGATAATTAGTGAAATCACAGGAAGGTTTTAAATTATAGGGTAACCTAATTTAAAAAAAAAAAAAAAAGACAAATATGTAAATATTGCTCACAAAAAAATCTGTGTTTTTACAAATATTAATTTCTTAATTCGTTGTTTTACAACATTTACCCCCAAAAATGACTTTTTTTTACTTTCCCTTTTATTTATTTATTTTTTAAAACTATTTTTAAAGCAGGCATTAAGTATTAAGGATTGAAAAAATGTAAAATATTTTTGGACTGTTATGTCACAGGTTTATACAGTATCTAGTAAAATCACATTTTAAAAGTATTTATTTACATTGTACACTGGCTGTAAGAAAACAAACAAACAAAAAAAATGCCCACATCAAAAATCTATTTTTTTAATGATGAATTTACACATTAACTAAAAAAAAATAATTGTTTTACAGATATTTGCTGTTATTTTCAAAATATTTTGAAGTTTTTAAACACTACAGTGCTTCGGCCTATTTTTTTACATAGTTTGCCATTTTTTGTTTTGATTTTTTTTTAAATTAAAAAAAATAATAATAATGATAAACCCCCCATTTCATTGTAGCAATCTGACAGCTGTGGATTAAAGATTATGATCTTATTAAAAAATAAACACTCATAAGATTAGGAAATTTGATGCATGGCTTGTGTCCTTCATTTCTCTTTTAAATTCATTGTCTTTTGAGGCCCAATTGAGTCAGATTATCCAATATTTGACACCAAATGACACAAAAGCAAAGTCCAGAAAATAAAAGCTTTTAAATTAATTTTATTTCTTTTTTTATCCTGACATACTTTGAGCCCTGTCAAATGAACTCAAATACCCAAATCCACCTCTGATGTAAAACATTTTAATCACTGTTTTCTATATATGATATAAAAGTGGATATTGTACAAAACATATATTTTGTACAGTTGAACTGTAAATATTAAGGTCAATTATATTAATAACCATTAGCTACACACTTAAATCATTTATCAGTTACTTTCAGTTTTATAGCAATTTATTCAACACCTTTCACCGCTTGTCCATAACATTTAGGCAAGCTAGCTTCTTCAGCCATTTATTAGGCAACCTTTTTCAGCCTTTCACAGCTATTCCTAACTTTTAGTCAACAATTTCAACCATTTATCTTTTATATATTCTCCCATCCAGACATTACTTTTGGCTGATCATTTGAAGTTATCTGTAAATGTTAGCAATCCAGCTAGCTATTTGAACTATCTATCCAGCAGTTATTAATGCTTTAATACATATTTTAACAATTTATCAAATACTGTAGGCTAAACATTTCAACTGTGTATCCAGTACTATAGTTTTTTTTTTTACATCATTTGTCCTTTACTCCTGACTAGCAAATGCAACTGATAATCCTTAGCATTAGCTAGCTAGCTATTTCACCATTATGTGTCCACTACTTTTAATCATTTCAACTATTTAGTCTCTTTTGCTCTTATCGCCATGATGTCCATATTTACCAATTTATCCAACACTTTGGCCTATCTATGTCATATAATTATTAATTTCTTTGAGCTTTTCTATCAGCTTATATTTTGCTGAACAGTTTCAAAGATTTATCCATAACTTTTAGCTATTTTTATCTGCTACTTTAACCAACTATTCAGCTATTCCAACCACCGACAATTAAAAAAAACACAACTATTACTTCTTTCCCTCACAACTTAACAGCTATCTATTATTTTTAAACTAAGTCTTTAATCTGTTTATCCATAACTTTCAGGTACCGATTTCAACCATTTACCCTTTACAAGTTTTAAAACATGTATTCCCTTTTATATCTACTTTAACCATTTATCCTTTACTGTTGACTATATACTTCAACTTTTTATCCATTATTTTTAGCTAACAGGAGTTTTTGACAAGTATATATAGATATATATACTACTGCTCTAAATAACTTTGGATTCTAAACCACGTTGATTTGTTTTTAAAGAATTTCCTTGTGGATTGATACATTTTTATCTGATCTTTACTCTCAAATGCAGTGTTACTCCTCCTGCTTGTAAACAGTCTGTCCTTTATAGGTTTTCTGCAGGTTCACCCACGTTAAATATGAGACTTTCAAAAACATTTTACAAAAGTATGATTAAAAAAACAGTACACTATATAAACATCAATTATTTTTTTCATTGTATCACGTTTACAGCTTCATATGGATTTGTTGAAGGAGAAGAAAAGTAATCAGAAAGAATGATTTCTTCTCAGAGCTCCAATGATTAGCTGATTGATATTTTCTTGGAAGAAAATTAATCATCATCACAAGGTTTTGGCCATATGCAGCAGTGGGTGTGTAACTGATGAACCACAGAGACGTAGCTGAGACAACGCTTTCTAAGGAAACTACCTCCAGTGCTTTTATAGGATGTTTACAGACTTGTTGATCGCCTGTCTTATTGGTTTTCTGTTGATTTTGTTATTTTAGGCGGACTCATTCCAAAGGACGTCCACAAGGGTTGCCAGGAAATACTGGTGGAAAAACATCAAAATGATGATTATAATCGGGGTGGTGGTGCTGATCATCCTCATCCTCATCATTCTCGCTGCCACAAACGTGATATAAATCCCATCTTTGCCCACTCAGGACTGAAAGTCATGAAGATGACGCTCAACCACAGGCGATTAATTGCACTCAAGTGATCATTTCAGATCAGAGAGGAGACGTTGTATATTTCAGGATCAAAATGAGCATATAATTTCGAAGGGAAAACAACTATTGATCAGGTCACTCTGTGGTGACGTAATGCAAAGACAAAATTCAGAGCAGCAGAGATTAAATTTGCTATGAAGCTGACTGAAATACTTCTTTAACACTCCAACTGTCATTCACGTGTGACGCAACACCACTTTGTTAATGGAACACAAATCCAAATGAGTGTTTATTATTTTATTTGTTTCATTTTTTTTAATGTCGAATACACTGTATATATATATATGCTGTATGTTTATGACCGTCAAACAATGTAATAACAAAATGTATTTTATGACTGATGACTATGATAAAGAGGATAAATGGTGACAACTCATTTTGTATCTTTGCTACCACAGTACTGTATATATATGTGTGATCTGTTCCAAACAATATTACATTTCAGTTATGGAATAAATGAAGCAATTCACAAGTAGCAGTTTGAGAACATTAAATACAAAAAAAGAACGGATGAGGAACTGCTAATAAAACGTTGCCGCAGCAGTCTAAACAAATGCAAAAACACTGAAATACTCTGGTAAATATAGAGGAAATGAACTGTAGGTCATAGTGCTCTCCTTTTATTTTCTTACAATCAGCTAAGTGATCTTTGCTGGATACCACCATCTCTCTGGCCAACGCTCCACCAGCGCACAGCAGACTTTCATCACTCTGACACCTACGAAAAACAAACGGGAACAAATCAGCTATAGGTGAACAAAACACTGTCAGATTACAAAGAAAATAGGAATCCCCTGTGTTTATAATGTTCAATGTAATAAAAACAATAAGAAAAAACAAACTGAGAACAATTATTTTACAGCTTAAAAAAAAAAAAAAAAAGTTAGAAAGTTAAGCTAGGGATCCTGAAGTGCAATAAATTGAAGTCAAAGCCAAAATATTAAATGGAAGAAACCTTCAGATTGGTCAAAAATACACATTAAAGAAAAGCATCACATGCAAATTTCTGGAAATGTAGTGACACTTTGATTCTCCTTGTTTTACCAAAGGTTATAAGAGGAAAATTTGTTACAGGAAAATTAACAAAAAGAGGAGTCTTTTCCATCGCTGTCAGTAACACAAAACAGAACAATACATGTACACAAAGTAAAGCACTTTATCCCCCAACACTGTAGAGTCCAAAACCAGGTTTTAGCTCATGGACTACTGGCTACAAGAGCTAAATAAAGAAACAAGCATTTTAGATATGATTAGGAGTGCATATATTAACATTAGGAACTGGAAAGTCCAGAGAAAGCTGTACGTATCCTTTGAAAAGCAAATAGTTATTTTTTCATAATTATAATCATTACTTGTGGGGGAGTAAGGGCCTGTAAAAAATGACAATTACATGTGTATATTTTAAGTTTTACATTACAAACAGTTGCAAAGAAATTAAAATGGAAAGAAAGATGACAAAGCTGGACGTGTCCCATATTGTTTAGTTTAGAAATGCTGATACAGGATGTTGTAAGACCATACCAAATGGCAGCATTCGAGAGCGTATGCTTCTCGTACCCGGTCCGCATTGAGCGGGCCCTGAGAGTATCTGGGAGTCAGCTCATGGCCTGCAAGGAAGCTCCGCTGGCAGGTACAAACAAGGTATGTCAGAGTTAGGAGACAACATACTTCCTTTTCTGTTTCCTTGCACATCCTTAACTTTGGCATCCATTTACTGTAGTAGCAGTACTTTACCTGTTAACTTTACAGTTTAAAAAAAAAGAGAAGGTGCAAAAGAGGCAGCAGAAGGCCGGCTGTTAAAATAATCGCCACAAGAGCGTAGCCTCTATGTTACCACTACTGTAAAGCACTTGAGGGTGCTGAGAAAAAGAAATTTATAAGAGGAAATTATACATAATGTTACCAAACACCAAAGTAAATATAACTACTTTAAGTTTACAGTAAGAGCTGTATTTTTTGCTGTTACATACCTACTTGAAGATGAGGGTTTTCCCCCGTTAATACGGCTTGTAACTGTTGGTGTGACCACCACGCCGTGGCGACTTGCCGTATCCACCCGACTGATCTACAAGTGCGGCACACAGTGAATGTCAGACGTTTCAAACATGAACAAAAACACCTGGACATGAAACTGAGGCACTGACGGCTTTACTCACTGTTGTAGTCACCATATCCATAATAGTTGTTGTAACCAGAGTAATCATAGCCTCCGTAGCCTCCATATCCTTGATTATTGTAACCATAATTGCCATAATTTCCATAGCCTTGATTCCAGTAGTTGCCATAACCCTGGTTCCAATTTTGGTTGGGGCCTGCAGTTAAGCAGAAGTCATCACACAACACATGCCACAAAACCATTCACTAAACTCCAACTCTAACCGTTCCTTATTTCAAAGGAATTCACTCTTTTTTTTTAAATAAGAAAAAGCAACATGGTTTATCTCTTTCTTGATCTGCGACACACTGTGTGAAACTGAAATGTTTTCTCAACTCACCACCACCTCGTCCTCGAGACCTGGATGAGTATCCACCTCTGCCTCCCCAGTACTGCTGCTGCTGGTACTGCTCCTTGGACATCGCCACCTTTATTTCACACTAAAGCAAACAATCAGGTTGATTTTTTATATTGATTTAAAGTCATCACATTATGTGCTAAAGTCTGATTTGAAGAAGGAACCAAAAAAAGCCTGTACCTTGCTCAGTCCGATGTTGTGGTACTTTTTCTCCATGATCTTCTTAACTGGCTCCTCTTCTTTAAATGTGATGAAGCAAAAGCCTCTCCGTTTGTTTGTTTTGTTCTCCATGGGAAGCTCAATGGACTCTACCTGTTCACATCATCAATACATAAATCCATAAAATAACATGCAGTCATCTTCCTGAAAAGTGTTTCAAGGAAAGAATGGCTGAGTTAAATCGTCAGCAGTACTGCAGAGTGGCAGAGCCACCAAAAAGATGCTCGTAACGTAAATTAAAACACACAACCCTCATGAGCAACGGCTGAATTTGTGAGTGTAACAAGTGGCGTACCTCTCCAAAGGCACCAAAATACTCTCGGACTTTCTCCTCAGGTGTGTCTGGAGAAAGACCGCCGACAAAGATCTTCTTTACAGGCTCCTTACTCTTCATGGCCTTGGCTTTTTTGGGATCGATGACCTTCCCGTTGAGTTTATGTTCCTTCTGTGAGGCAACCTTCACAACAAAGTAAAAATCTGATAAAAGCTCATGTAGGAAATTGTGTCAAGCGTTACGTATCTGAGCCAAATACAAGGGATGTTTGGTTGTTGTTATCCTGATAGTCACGACTAAACGGCCATGTTGCTTCACTTTATTCTTGGGCAGAAACTGTTGAAAATTAAATTTGCTGGTCAGTTAATTCATTGTTTTTCTCGTATTAAATGTCAGAAGACTCACAGACCAGAGGGTTCCATGATTAAATTACTAACTCTGTCTGACGAGAAGTCCAAAATCAAAATATCTACAGTTTACAGTTAACAAATATTGCAATTTAAGAAGCTGCTAAATGCAGCTGCTTGACACTTGGCTTGAAAAGTGATTTTTCATAAATGATTAAAATAACTGTAGTTGACAAAACTTTAATAGAACTAAGAAAAACAGCAAAACATCACACCTGACAAGCTGGAGGCACAAAACAGTTGTTTCATATCTACTACTTTCATTCAGTATCTAAACTATTAAACAGACCACAGATGTTCATGATTCAGATGCAGTTTTTGTCTCTGCTGCATTATTACTGCAGTCACAGAGTCCACACAACCGTCTGACAATCTGAGTAAAAAGATATCCTGGATTTTGCACAATAAACAAGATTTTTTAACCTCTTCTTCAAGTTCTTCTTCTTTTTCCTTATAAAAACAACAATGTTTGTTATGACCTGTATCGGGATATATTCATTCTTTTCCAAGATTTTATATTTTCATCCAAACTAACATACTTTATGTTTATATGTGCGTTATTTCCAAACCACACCAATAAGAAAATAAAGTTGCAACTTTAAAAATAGGTTTAGAAACCTGGTAACTGAATATTTCTGGAAATACTTTCACAGCAGCAAGAATGTTGTTAAACAATAATCTTTTTTGGTTTTTTTTGGGTCATTTGTCTGTTGAAGATAAACCAAATGAGATATCATCGAGATGGAAGGCTAAAAATGGACTGTGCAACACAGCTGAAGTCTTGTGCTGGCTCGTTTGGAAAATGGGATGTCCTTTTCCAATCTTCAAAGCTATTTAAACACATGGTTGTGCACTTTGTTTAAAATTGTGAAGCTGAACTGTTTTAGCATGGTCTCATATCTAATGTAGTAAAAGGATTTGTCCAGCAGGTGTCCCTGTTTTCCACTGAATCAAAGGCTTCAAAACAGTGAGCTGTAGCTTCACAGAAATAATGACTCAGAAAGTTTTGTCTGTCCCATCCACACCTGTGTCGTGAACGTAATGGCAGTTCATAAAAAGTGATATTTAAGAAGTTCTACAAATGTGTTCTTATATGTACCGTTACTTGCAGCATAAAGATGTAATTTGAACAGGCAGTACCTTGTCAACACTTTCAGGTTCTTTGAAGAGCACGAAGCCGAAGCCCCTTGAACGTCCAGTCATGGGGTCCAGTTTTAACGTGCAATCCACAACCTCCCCAAACTTTGAAAAGTAATCTTTCAGGTCCTTCTTAGTCGTGTCCCAGCTGAGCCCTCCAACAAACATCTTCCTGTTGACAAAATAAATGTTTTGGGAAAGATAAGATGCTGCGTCTGTTTGAAGGAAGCACCTTATGAGACTGATGTGAAGAGCTGGACAACCAACCAGGCAAAGCAGCCAAGTGCCCTGGACACATTCACTCCATTTAACCAGCCTAAATAATTCATTAATCTGCAATTTGCAATAAATGTACACGACTTCACTACAATATCAAATATAACTCCATTCTTTATCTTGTAGCCTCTGTCTAGCAGAGGGACCCTGTGTCAAAATCTAGCTTCATGACCTCACTGTTGGGAGTTCATAATGCTATTATTTGTTGTGTTTTTTCAAACGATGTTCATTTTTACTGTATATTAAGTAATTAACCCACAGAAAACGTGTGTCAGGCTGGATTACTCCATCGTAGAAAAACTGTAAGGCTGCTACCAACAACTACTGTTGCTGTCGATCAATGTGACCTCGTCTTCGTTTATTTAATGATTAGTCATTCTACAAAATGAAAAAAGAAAAGCATGACTGAACATTTTACTCATTTCTAATTGAAATTGCAATCTTAGAGATAAGACTAATGATGCAGTTCAGAGTTACGTAATTCAAGCAGATTGAAACTTCTAGCAGCTGTTTAAACCCACTGATCAGTGTATAGACTCTGCCGGTCATCATGGACGCTGACTTGCATGCATCATGATTTATAGACTTATAAATACATTTGTTTATAAGTCATGTGGTGATGCTCGTTCACGTTTTAAATTTGTTACAGAGAAAATACTAACGTTTGACTTTACAAGATTATAATGCAGTTACAATCATAATAATTGTCTAAGAAATTGCAATTACATCTTTTCCCAAAAGCTCTCAGCTCTATAACACGGTATTTTTTAAAATCTATTTTTCTTAATTTTCTCTCTTTTTTCTCTCAAACAACTAACTGATCGCTACAATGTACGGATTAGATTCTCGGTGCCAGATGACATAATGACACTATGATGTCTAAATATAATATCAATAACACTCAGTGAGTGCCCCGGGGCCCCTCAGGAGGTGAACCTCCAGTCAGCTCTGTAATAGTGTCTCACTGGTGACAGCTGAAGACATGACAGGTGAGTCCAGCTGATGTGATCGTACCCTTCATCCTCCTCGTTTTTACTGGCGTCGATCCTGGAGCCCTCGGCCTCGCCCCCCATCAGGCCACAGTCCCCGGCCGCTGACATCGGGTCGTCGCTGTTCGCCTCCCCATCCTCCTCCATTCTCATCATGGTCGTGTCATCGCTGAATTCATAATCATCCGACATGTTTTGTTTTTTTCAGTAACTACTTCTGAACTGAAGTCGCGCCGCTAAACGTCTCCAAAACTAAACGTACGTCAGAAATCCAAACAGAAGCTACGCTAAGTAACGTTAGCTCGTGGCTAGCTAATGATTTATGTATTCTAAATAAAACGCTTGGCGCCGGTTACAGTGAGCTAGCTAGTTAGTTTACGTGGCTGTAATGCAGCGTCAGTGTGAATTTAGGCAGAATGGGTTTAAATAAGGCAACAACAACAAAAATAGCTTCAGTTACGACAATTTTGAGGCAGATCTCGTCGTTTTGTTTTCATCGCCGTCGCCTCCTCTTCTTCGTTGGTGTTTTAAAGCGTCCAACACACGAACGGTGAAGGATTCATTGCGGCACCTGCTGCACCGGGGGTGGCACAAAATTACTTCATAAAGATTTCACAGTTGTTTTTTGTTTGTTTGTTTTGTCCTCCATGGAGCATTAAAAAAAATGCACAAAATATAAAATCAAATTACAGATAAGAAAGCTAGCAAAACTTCTTCTTTTTTTTGTTCCAAGGCACGTCAACTGTTGTGGCATCACAGTTGTGTAATGTTTGAGTTGAAGTGTTTATTTCTGTACATTTGTTACATATATACTGAGACTGTTCCAAATGTTCGAGAATTTATTTTCCTACTTTATGTTATATTGATATTTTAGTCATGCAAGTCATTTTGCACACTGTATTTTTATACATTATGGATTTTCCGCATTTTGCACACTGCATGTTTTCTATACTTTATATTATTCCCATTATACATATTTGTATTACCTTGCTCTAAGTCCTAAGTCGTCTTAAGTAATAAGTGAGTCATGAGTAGGCTGAGACACTGTGGTCTAATCAAAGTAAGGTCATCCCACTTTCTTTCTATTCTTAGCCTGTGTTATTATCACCATGAGTGCAGGAGAGCTACACCAGTGCTCCTCCAACTTTATGATGACTTACAGCTACAACCAGATGTAAACTTGTCCCTTGTGGCCAAAACACACTTGAGAAACACTGAGCAAGGCCAGAGTTATCAACTTTTAGCTGCCAGCTGGAGTGAGATTGAAGAGCAAAAACAGACTCTACATTATTTGTGTGTGAGTGTGTGTGAGTGTTTCCATTAAAAGTTAAATTTTCTGGTTCTAAATTATTTGAATGACAACTACAATTACCACAGTGTCACCCTTTTTAGAGATTTGTCCCCCCAGCATTCATTTATTTATTGTATAAATGTACCAGACTGATTTAAACATTAAGGTTTGATTTTATCAGCGGTGTCATTTCAGCCAGACTGTGCTGCACAACATTCTAGTGTTTTCTTGAGGAGATTTGGTTCTTTTACTGAATTTTTGGGCTGAAACATAAAGACAGTTGTGTTTGTCTTAGTCTCAGTGCTGCAGCTTAAATTAAAGATTAAAGTATCAACCCAGAGGCCTGAACACGGAGTCTCACAAATGTTTTCGATAAATGTGTTTTAGAAGGAAACACCAGCACTATCTCTAGAACTCTATTGAGCTACAAGAAAAACTAATCCAACATTAACATTAGTAAAAAGTCTCAGTTGTCCATGAAGCTTTGAAAAATTAGGAATGTTCAAACAGCTGAAAACCTTAAAATGAGACATGGACTCTTCAGATTTAATGTTATTTTCACATGAGGAAATATGATAGGTTTAGTTTTTAATTCTATTATTTTTGTTCATTTTTTAATGATTGATAGTAAAGTAGGGAAAGAGGGGCTGAGGGTCGTCGAGGGGTTAGGGAAAAATTAAAAGAGGGAAGGAGGTCTTTGTTAATGTCTTCTAAACCTCTGGTTCTTCACCATCTCTTCCTTCTCCTCCTCTCTCAGGGCAGCATCCTTCCTGAGTTCTTCCACAGTGTTGTGTTCAGTCCTCCAGGTTTCTTTTTCCAGCAGCTGCTCCTCGATGCTGAAGAGCTTCACAGAGAGACTCTGATTCAGACCATCAAGTCTCGGAAGTTCCTGCTCTCTCACAGAGATCTGCTCCTCCAGGACTCAGTGTTCTCATCTCTCTGGAGTTTTTGTGCCTCTCAGCCTCCAGCCTCCTCCTGGTCTATGAACTGCCCCTTTTCATCCAGGAGCTTTTTAATGTAGTAGTCTCATCTTCTCCTGCACTTCTTTAGTCTTCTACTTTTTTCTTCTCTTCCTGCAGTCTGCTGTTGTCCTTCAGTTCTTTATTTCTGTCCTTCATCACCTTTCTGTCGTTCTCCAGTGCCTCCTTTTCTTCTTGCTGCTCTTTTGTCTGGAGGTTTCTGGTTTCTAACTGCATCTCAGAGAGACTCTCTTTCTCCAGCTTAAATTTGGAGATTTCTTTCTTTCTCTAACTGAGCTGCTCTTTCCCAGTCTATCTATCCTCCCTGATGTTGGTCCATGTCATGGCTGGACTCAGACTCTCTGTAGAGGCCTTGTCCTTCTGCTGGTTGGTGGTTTTCTCCAGCAGTTCTTGGAACTCTTTATCTTGTCTCTCACTGCTCATCAGAAGTTCCTCCAGCTTGCAGGTTTGGTTCTTACTGCTCTGGGCCTGGTGGAGGAACTGCTCCTTGTCAGCGAGGAGCTCTTGAATGCGTTGGCCCATGTTACATAGTTTCTCCTTCAGATGGCTGTCGTCTTCCAGAGACCCATCCGAGGCCCTCCTCAGTCCAGGTGGGTGACCTGTCATGCTAGTGAGCAGCCTGGTGAGGGCTGATTACAAATCCTTCTTGGCACTTTGGGTGTGCCTCTCTGGGTCATGGCACTGGGAAAGTGAGACTCTACAGAAATACAGCAATAGGTTGTTGGTACTGCCTGGCCTGCGGCAGACGGTGGTTTCTGTAGAGGATGTGGTGGTGTTTTGGTGGCAGAAGACTTTGGCTGTTTGTTGTAGAACTCCCAATCTTGTCTATTAAACCAGGAAATGTGTGTTTTACTGTGTTTTCTTCACTTATCTCATCAACCAACTACACCTGCAAGTGTCTTTCTGATATGTGTGAGCTGACTCTTTATCTGTTCTATATTTCCAGTCAGACTACATATTTGTTTAAGACGCAGCACAACATGTGCAATGAAGAAGAGACAGGCTGCTGTGTGAGACAAGGCATTTATTGGAAGTACGTTTCCTGAATGTTTCACACATAAATCACCAGTTTGGCAATGATTCGGTACTTTTTTACCCACATTACAGATGAACAACAAGGATGGCACATTTAAATAGACACCATTCACCTGCGAGGGGGTTAATTAAGACATTCAAATGAAGTTTGAAATTTCTGTCAGCAGCACCACTGCTGAGTGCATCTACACTGTGGTTCTACTCTCTAAAACATGACAGCTCAATCACTGGATAAAACTTCATACAGCTGCAGCACATCTGTAAGTGTAGAGGGAAGAAACGGTTACAAAATGGTGACAAATACAGCTCGCGCACACACACAGAGTTGGAAAGTGGCAGTCAAATACGGTTCATCTAAAAGGTAAAAAGGTATCACAGGTCATGTGCAGATTCCTTCAAGCTTGTAGTTGGTTTTCAGCACCTCCCAGTCATTCAAATGGTCCAATGACAGTGATGTTCCATGTAAGTTCCTGTTATGCTCCGTACATCTGTAGGCGTCCTGAACGAGCTGGACAGCTGAACTTCTTCATTATCAGCCCTGCTGCTGGGTAACTGCAGGCCCAGCAGCATCACCTCCTCTACTGTCAACGTGGAACAAACAAAAACACCAGTGTTGCAAAAAGGTGGGGGGCAAAGAGGAGAAGGAGAAGGTCAGTATGAAGTGAAGTCAGAGAAGTGGTCCCTGCCTCCCTCCTCGCTCTGTGTTAAGCTCGTCCCGTCAGCTGAAGTTGGCTAAAGGAGGTAATGAGATTATAGTGGGCCCTCTCCTCATCCGTCAGCTCCATGTTTCCAGGCCTGACCACCACCACCACGTTCAGCCCGGCTTCTTCTGCTGCTTTAGCCTCTGCAACGACAAATCCACAAGTAAATAAAAGCAGACACGAAGGAAAAAAAAAAAAACATTCTACGGAATCTGTTGACTTTTATAACCAGGAAATACAAAGTCCTGCTATAGCGAAGAAAAACAATCTGGCTCGTTTGTATTTCTTTAAACCAATCACAGTCACCGTGGGCGGGGCAACTACACTAGCTGTCTAAAAAAAATTATAATAATAATCAAGCATCTGGTACAAATATAAAGTATTTGGTCTGGAATAACTTCAAATTAGCGAAGCTGACTGCCAAAAAGTCGAGTGCCAGATATCATAAATCTACATAGAGTTTGGCAAACGACCTGAAAACCGCGAATAACAGTTTAGTTGTGTTGCAACTGCGATCTGCATGCTAAAAAAAATTATGCCCTGAAGACTGTATTTGGGAGAGCTGGGACAACATCTTGTAACTCCTTCTAGCATAAATCCTCCTGATGCACCTGGACACATCATCGGTGGGTCATCAGGTGTTTCAGTATCAGACATCCACAATGCTCAGCAGAGTCTGAGTTCAACGAGCACTGCATCACCCATGGCAGTGGTGTAGCACGTCCTACATCTTCCAACTAAAGTTGTTTATTTTTTTACAGAAGTCAAGTGTGGAGACTGATGGTCAGCTATGTAAAACACCTACAAGACGTTTCTGCTGAAGGCAACAATTCGAGCTTTTGAATTAAAGAGTTTATCGACTTGCATGGCTAACAAACAAACAGAGCTCTTTAGCTGGAGAGTTTACTTCCTTCATGTGTAACCAAGCAAAAAACTAACTCCTGCTGCTTATTTTAAACTTAGTAAGTAATACAATATATGTGCTTTGTTTTGTTTTTTCCACACAAAATATCTGTCAATTACATACAGGAAAAATATCTCACAATTGTAACAGTATGTGTGTTTCCAATGCACAATAGTAGAATAAATGAATACGTGCTGGTATACTCACCTCGGCTGACATCTGTCAAGAACGTGATTTCTTCAGGTTGACAGCCAATCCTCTCTGTGATTCTCTCATAGCTTTTGCAGTCTACTTTAGGTCCCACACCGGTGTCAAAGTGACCGTCAAATAACTGAAATGATAAAACAAAACCATCCAATCAGACTCAGTATCTCAGACATCAACAGCACGAGTTTACATTAAAAAAAATCTATATTTCCAAGACCAAAGTTCTGTTTATGTTAGAGTGTTTGCATAGAAATGAGAGAGGCACTTACATCTAAAACGTCTCCTTCGACAGAGTATCCAAACAGAAGTTTCTGTGCCTCGATGCTTCCAGAGGAGTAAATGTAGATTTTGAGGCCTTGTTCTCTCCAGGTTTTGATGGATGGAACCACGTCCTGATAGACCCTG